AATGTTTATAAATTAAAATACTTTAAAGGCAAATAAAATTTAATATTTAGATATATGGAAACACACGATTAGTAAGATATGTACCAAAGAAACGAAAACTAATATGAGTCACAACATCTCAATTAATTTGATGGCAATTAGCAGAATAATTAAATAGAATTGATGGAGAGCATTGATAACCACTAGCAAAATGCCCCATTAAATAACAACTAAGATCCTCAGTAAAATGATATTAATATTAAATTACTCTCTATAGCTATGATCCGAATGCAGATCTCCCTCCTCCAATGGAAAACTTATAAGAAAGTTTGAGAAGAATATCGACGAGACAGCAAAGTTTTAGAGAGTTAAGACAAAATTTGGATAATTCTGCTTAAACAGCCAGGGAGTACAATGAGATTGAATTACGAAAAGTCAAGAAACAATCGATTTAGTATTTTATAACAACTGCTGTTACCTGCGGTGTTTGGGTAGGATACGGTGTAGGTAAGAGAGATACTACTAAGATAAGAACACCAGACTACAACTGTGATACGCCGATTTCAACATGGCTGATTGTAATGGGAGCAACATATGGACTGTAATGTATATACTACCTTTACTAAATGATACTGGTATTCACCAAAAAGGAAAAAGCTAAGCCTGCTATTTAATTACTTAGTCTAGCCAACTTTTGTTTGATCATCAATTTCTAGGTTGCATGGCTCATTTATGGTAATACATTTCACTACACAAGGGATAGTATGAGATGCAAAGATAATAATGACGACTTTAAGAGTATGTGGGTTCTGATGATGATTTCTATCGCTTTTGGCTACATCCTATTCTTAGTCTATGGATTGCTGACATGTTGCTGTCTCTGCGCTTCTTGTATTCTTTGTTGCGGAGGAGGAGCAAGAAACGGATAATAGCCTTAATTTGTTGGTAGAATTCCATATATGAATGCAGTTAAAACTCTCAATAAAAAGAACTTCAAGAATATTGATGAAACAAATAAGAATATGACAGAATGTTTGATTTGCTTGGCATAATTCTAAGATGATGAAGAAATTACCGAGTTAAATTGTGATAAGAGGCATTATTTCCATACAGAATGTATTCAATCATGGATGAAGAAAAAGCTTGAATGCCCACTTTGCAAAAAGCAAGTAGGAGCTGTCGAAAAAGCCTGATAATTTTAGAATTTAAGACAAGCTAATCTAAAGATTTATTTTCTGATTTATTATGCTGTTGTCTTAAAAAGAATAAATTATTTTTTGCTAAATAATCATTAAAACATTAAGAATTTCATCATAGCTGGGGTTTTGGGGTTTTGGGG